CCTTGATATAAAAATAGACACAAGTTAACTTAAACTTACTGTGAGTCAGCAGACCTGAAGTAAGAAATATGGGATACAAATGCTATCTGAAGAAAGTAACATCAAATCTATCCCATTTAATAAGTTCTTTGAATCAGCGGCCTCACATTTATCTATCTCAAACCATTGAAAATAGGCGGGCCAATCAGAATCCAGAAAGGGCGTCGTTATATAGTTGGTGGTATATTCTACGGTATGTACCCATCAAGCATTGCGGTCTAAGTATTTTGAATGGTGTGGAATAAAGAAAACTAGTTGCTGCTTACCAAACTCAAGTTGTACATTCCGTCAATCAGACTTTCGATTTCTCTGCTTCCACCTTGTTTGTCGAGTGTTCTTCATCTTCTTGTACTTCAGTAAAGGTTTGAAGTTTCTCTCTGCACGATCGCCACAAACCTTGATCATAAATAATTTCATCTTAATATTTAAATGTCTTTATTCTCAGGAATGAAAAGTTATCGATTTACTTGATATTACCTGAACAAACTGGAATCAAAATACCCCTTTGGTTTTTTACTTGGCGAGAGAGTACTTTTGACAATCCTCGATCCCCCTTTGGTAATTTTGCTTTACCGGCATGACAAGATAGCATTTGAGGAACGCTACACCTGGTACTACTTCTTTTCCATCCAATTCCAAGAGTGAGGCGATGGAAGGAACAAATGCTCATTGACTCGATGTTTTCCGAGCGTTCAAATGTTGATGCACGGGCAAGAATTAAATCAACTTCATTGTCAAGATCTTGAAAGCTCCAAAGTGATTTGTGAGAGGAAATATCTTTTGTGCACGTTAACAAAGGGACTATCTCTATTGAGTGCTTCCTGTCTCTCCGATCGTAGGTACAATGCCCTCCAACAAGCGTGTAAAATGAACAGTGCGCTTCCATTTTACTACTGATTTATTTTGAGTGATTCACTAGCAATATAGTGATAAAAACAACATTCTCGCGGGATTTTTGTGCGTAGTTATAGCACGTTATTAAAATGTACAAACTGACACTCAGCAATCCCATTTATAAAATTTTGTTCCAAAACAAATAATAGCAAACAGAAATCACGAACTGCCTGCCTTAAAGCACTTTGGTTAACTCGAGCACCAACTCTCCATTGCTGGATGGTCTTTTCAATCTTGTGAGTCGGTGAACTACCAGACAACTACATAAGGTAAGACATTTTTAAGACAAGTAAAAGTTCATAAGAAAAGTCCACCATAATAATAAAAAAACAGCGAAAGATAATCCAATCAAAATGCCTGACTACACATCATTTTTTCGCGCGAGTCTGTTTTCGACAATTGGTTCAACTTCTTGTTCAAAACAAGACCTACATTCTTTTATTCTCTATGTCAATTCTTTTCACCCAGCTCTTGAATTCACTTGGGACATTAGTGAAACTTCTGTCACATTTCTTGACATTTCTGTGAGTATTTCTGCTAATCATCTCAATACCACTATTCATTATAARCCCACAGACTCTCATTCATATTTACTTTATTCCTCCTCACACCCTAAACACACTCTCAATTATATTCCTTTTTCGCAATTCTTACGTTTGCGCCGTCTTTGTAGTGACGATACTGATTTTTCTCACAAATGTCAAGAAATGCGTTCCTTTTTTCTTAATCGTGGTTGCCCTATTACCATCATCGACCGTGCTTTGCTTAAAGCTTCTTCCATAGATCGTAACACTGCTCTCACCCCTAAATCACGCAATTCTAACCTTAACCATATTCCATTCACTATCACTTACCATCCTATTAACAACCCTATCAAACCTGTAATTAATCGTAACTTCAATTTACTCAACTCTGATCCCATCACGTCCTACATTTTCAAAAACGCCCTCTTTTTTCGTTCAAAAGAGACCGTAATTTACGCTCTTTCTTAGTTAAAGGCGTACTTCCTTCTCATAATAAGAACCCGGTACTTTTCGCTGCTCTCGCAAACGTTGCTACACTTGCCCCTTTGTTGCTTCACAAACTTCTATTAAAGGTCCCAAATCCACCTTTGATATTACAGATCATTTTGATTGTACTTCTTCTAACGTCATCTACTGCATTCAATGTTCACGCTGTAACATGCTCTATGTTAGAGAAACTGGCCGCCGATTAGGTGATCGTTTTAGAGACTAACTTTACGACATTCGCAAGAAAGATTTATCTAAACCAGTTGCTCGGCACTTTAACTCTGCTAATCACTCTGAGCTTAATGCTATTGTTTTTGGTCTGTGTTTAACCCACGGCAGCAACGATCATCGTAAAACAAAAGAAATGCGCTTAATTCATTCACTTGGCACCGTTAATCCCCACGGGATGAACGAACGCTTCGCTTATAATTAAGTTATTTCTCACCTATTGTTGCTTTCGATCCTTTTGTTTTTCTTTTTTTCTTATTGGTATAGACAGCAGATACATAATACAAAAGGTGTACCTTAATCAAAAATTTATCCTTAAACATTAAACTTTCAACATCTCACTCAATGTCAAAGGCAGACAGATAAGCAGATGCTTCATTCTTATAACAAAATAATAATAATAGCGGAGATCCCATAATATCGAAGCACCATACTTAAGAAAATAAAATTGGTAACTCATCGAGTTGATTTTTCATGGCTTGATTATTACATCTTTTTTTACTTTCAACCCGGTACTTTCAACCTCAAAACAAGGCTTTTTAAAAACCATTAGTTTAATGGAATCAGTTCTCATACATAGGGAATACTTAATAAAAACCGAAAACCGTCAGAAACAAAACGGAAAATAGAGGCTAATTTGATAGGAATGGGTTAAACCTTTAAGGTCTATATCTATTCGAAAATTTCAAAGACAAAGTTGGGTAGCTATAATTTTCAGGTCACCCATCCAAATACTAACCTCACTCAAACGTGCTTGATTCACTGTCTTGGAAGCCCGAGTTTTTTCCACTGGGCCTCGATTTCAGGAAACTATTACAACAATAGACATGAAAACAATGCACCAGATAGACTAGATCATTTTCCACTTCAAATCAACGTGCCAGTGCGTGGCAGAGTGCAAGGGATTAGCTGAAGATATGGTCTGGGGGCCGGCTAGTCTCTCCCCTGATGCTTCGGCTAGAACACTATCTGCGTAATCCGTACACCCAAGGGCAGAGAGACTTAATCGTGTCCGAAGTCCATACGACGACCCAGCGGATGTCTCGGGGTATGGCATGAAGGCATTATTTTTTTCACTTTGCTGAAATAATCTTGGATACATATAATAATCACTCACTGAAATATTTTTCTGATACTCGAAAGGAAAGGGCCAAAATTTTACGAAGTATTTTCTTCCGCCATTAAGTTGTTGACTCACGGCCATGTGGCGTATTCTTTACGTATGACATCATACATTCAACCCACACCCTTGTACACACCACAGAATTCCCTTCCCGGTGGTTGATTTCAGGGCAAAACTACTTGCCAGTGCACGACATTATTTTGCCCATCCATCAAAGAGACCTTTTTAGAAAAATAAACAAATATAAACAAGAAATATATATATTGAATAATTAACTGTGAGTAAAATATTCCATATTTCTTTTAAAATGTATTAACTAGTATTAGAGTGAGGGCATTTAAGAGGTAGCCTGCAGAGGAGGCATTCTTRAAAGGTAGAATCGCGTTTTGGGGTTTTTCTTTTTCAACTAAGTGTCCTTCTTCCCCTTCCCGCCCCCTCAACCTTCGCTTCTTTTTTGCTCGGATCCAGTTTTCGCTCGTTCCAAATTTCCAAAGTTCGCCCCGGATTTTCCCCAAACCAGTTTTGCTATTAAAGAGGCAATGTCCACAAGAATCGAACAAATTCGAGAATTCGTGGCAAGAGTCAAAAAGTCAAATTCGCTTTCCTTTTGAAGTTAGATAGGCCATTATTAGATATGAATCCCTGGGGTAGTCAGTTTTTGAAAATATTATTCTATTTTCGAGAAAACGGCCAGAGAAGGGGCTCGACCGGAGTCCATAGCAAGAGACATGAATTCGACATCTATTTGCAGTCAGATTCAATTCAGTTCCCCAAATCATTCCTTACAGATTTCAATCAGACATCTTGCATATAGTTTAATCTTACCTGTTTGGTTCTGTTTGTTCTGTTTTGTTCTGTTTTGAACTGGTCGTCACGGAGTACGGACGTCGAGTTTTCGCTCCGCGAAGATCTTGTAAATTTTGATTTAAAACTAAATTTAACTAATATGTTTCTTTATTTTAAGTAAACTGTTAGTTTTTCATTTATTTATCGTCATATTTTATTTGTAAATCTTCTAATATTTATTTAATGTAATATATCGCCTCCCGCCTAGATTAGCTTTATGCTATTTGCGGGAGGGTGATAAATTGTGTATATATAGTCATTATTTTGTAAAAATAAACTTGAAACTTG